GACCACCCCCCAGCACGACCACCCCCCAGCACGACCACACCCCAGCACGACCACTCCCCAGCACGACCACACCGCCTTGGTTGAGTGGTTGCCTGTCGTCGTGGAATGTTTCGTGGGGTGTCTCGTGGAATGTTTCGCGGGGTGTCTCGTGGAATGTTTCGTGAGGTGTCTCGTGGAATGTTTCGTGGGGTGTCTCGTGGGATGTTTCGTGAAGTGTCTCGTGGGATGTTTCGTGAGGTGTTGCCCAGTTGGGTATCGTGAAAACGTGTCCATGCTCCACATGTCTATATCCCTTTCCGGGTTCGTGGGTCCATCATGTTCCCGCGTCTCCTTTGCCTAATTAGTCTCTGCGTACCCCGCTTTGACCTGATTCGCCGCCGGCGCGCTCGCCCGCGGCCGCTGATTAAAAAGTATTATTACCAGGTTTCGCCTCTGGGATGGCTGCACTTCGGCCGCCTGGCACTCCTGGCAGCTCCTGCAGCCTGCCTTCAGCCCCGGCGCCGTTCAGCTTCCCGCTTTGGCAGCCGTGAGTGCGCTCGCTGGGTAATTCGGTTCCGCCCGTAGCCCGGGTCGACCCTTGACGCCGCTTGCGCTTTCGCTTGCGGCCGCGAAACAACAACTCTTACCAGCCCATCCAGAAACGATGCCCAGGCGAGTTGCCTCGATTATGACAGGGTATAAGCGTATAGTGGAATGAGTTCTGGATTGGTCTGATCTGGCCCAGAACGAGAATGTGGATGACGATGATGATGATGATGATGATGATGATGGTGGTGATGATGATGATGCTGATGCTGGTGCTGATGCTGATGATGAGGATGAGGATGATGATGATGATGCTGATGATGAGGAGGATGATGAGGATGATGAAAACGATGATGATGATGATGATTATGATGATGATGATGATGATGATGACGTTGTTGATGTTGTTGTTGATGATGATGATGATGAAGATGATGATGATGATGGTGGTGATGATGATGATGATGATGATGATGATGATGATGATGAGGAGGAGGAGGAGGAAAAGGCCGGAGTCAGGAGGAGGACGAGGAGGCGGAGGAGGACGACGAGGACGCGGAGGAGGAGGAGGAGGAGGAGGAGGAGGAGGAGGAGGAGGAGGAGGAGGAGGAGGAGGAAGAAGAGGAGGAGGAGGAGGAGGAGGAGGACGAGGAGGAGGAGGAGGAGGAGGAGTCAGGAGTCAGGAGGAGGAGGAGGAGGAGGACGAGGAGGAGGAGGAGGAGGAGGAGGAGGAGGACGAGGACGAGGACGAGGAGGGCGAGGAGGGAGCGGACGACGACGACGAGGAGGAGGATAAGGAGGAGGACGAAGACTCTGGTATCCAGCTTGGGGTCTTCCGGACGCCCTCTTGGGGTGTGGGTCCTCTTGGGGCTATTTCGGAGGGTCTTGGGGTCCTCCCGGCTCCTGTACTGGGCGCCCAGGACCGTTCACAACATACTCGGGGTGAAAAGCCAGCCACGTGTTGAGACTCGTATTTAATACACGCCCGCAGCGTTTTTTCCCGGAAAGGGCGTGGGCCCAGGGTTCTCTTTTAGTAGGTAAACCTGTCCCCCGGTGCCAACTTGAGGGAGGCCGGCGAATTTTTTCCCTGATAAATAACGAGGTCGAAGGAGGCCGGCGAATTAAAATTTGAGGATGTCTCGAGCGAAACGCTTGTTTTTGAAATCCCGATCGATAAATCACAGGGTGCGGGCCACTTTTTCGTGTGTTGAGGATGTCTCGAGCGAAACGCTTGCTCCGCAGAGTTTGCCGAGGATGTCTCGAGCGAAACGCTTGTTTTGCAGAGCCGACCGCGACGCGGAAAAGCGCCCCGCGCGAAGGAATTTCGATGATGTCTCGACTAATTTGTTTGTTTTTGTACGATTTCCTGGAATTTTGGCAGGATGTCTCGAGCGAAATGCACGACCCCACCCTAGCACGACCATACCCCAGCACGACCACACCCCAGCACGACCAGACCCCAGCACGACCCCACCCCAGCACGACCCCACCCCAGCACGACCATACCCCAGCACGACCACACCCCAGCACGACCCGACCCCAGCACGACCCTACCCCAGCAAGACCACACCCCAGCACGACCACACCCCAGCAGCACGCCCCAGCACGACCACGCCCCAGCACGACCACACCCCAGCACGACCCCCCCAGCACGACCACCCCCCCAGCACGACCACCCCCCAGCACGACCACACCCCAGCACGACCACACCCCAGCACGACCACTCCCCAGCACGACCACACCCCAGCACGACCACACCCCAGCACGACCACACCCAGTCGCACCCCCGTGGAATGTTTCGTGGCGTGTCTGGTTGAGTGGTTGCCTGTTCGTGGGGTGTCTCGTGGAATGTTTCAAAGGGTGTCTCGTGGAATGTTTCGTGAGGTGTCTCGTGGAATGTTTCGTGAGGTGTCTCGTGGGATGTTTCGCGGGGTGGCACGACCACGCCCCAGCACGACCACCCCCCCAGCACGACCACCCCCCAGCACGACCACCCCCCAGCACGACCACCCCCCAGCACGACCACACCCCAGCACGACCACACCCCAGCACGACCACTCCCCAGCACGACCACACCCCAGCACGACCACACCCCAGCACGACCACACCCAGTCGCACCCCCGTGGAATGTTTCGTGGCGTGTCTGGTTGAGTGGTTGCCTGTTCGTGGGGTGTCTCGTGGAATGTTTCAAAGGGTGTCTCGTGGAATGTTTCGTGAGGTGTCTCGTGGAATGTTTCGTGAGGTGTCTCGTGGGATGTTTCGCGGGGTGTCTCGTGGGATGTTTCGTGAGATGTCGCCCAGTTGGGTATCGTGAAAACGTGACCATGCTGCACATGTCTTTATCCCTTTCCGGGTTCGTGGGTCCATCATGTTTCCGACGCGCGAGGATGTCTGGGCTCCTCCCCGCTCTCCTCGTTCTCCGCCCTCCTCGCCCTCCACTCTCCTCGCCCTCCTCGCCCTCCTCCGTCTCCTTGCCCTCCTCCGCCCTCCTCGCCCTCCTCTCCTCGCCCTCCTCCGCCCTCCTCGCCCTCCACTCTCCTCGTCCTCCTCGCCCTCCTCGCCCCCCGCCCTCCTCGCCCTCCTTGTCTCCGCCCTCCCCGCCCTCCTCGTCCTCCACTCTCCTTCGCCCTCCGCCCTCCGCCCTCCTCGCCCTCCGCCCTCCGCCTTCCTCGCCCTCCGCCCTCCTTGTCTCCGCCCTCCTCGCCCTTCGCCCTGCTCGCCCTCTACACCCCCTCTCGCATGTGTCCAGACAAGCCAGGTTCTCGTTGCCACGTCCTCACCCACTTGGTCTGAGCTGGGCCCAGACGCAGTCCGCAACGTTGGTCGCATCGCAACGCGTCGCACCCTCGGCGGCGGCTGAGATGAAATATCACACGTCTTTTTGATGACAGCCAGTAGCTCTACAAGGAAGTGTGATGTCTCATCCAAGACGCGCTTTTTCCCGGAAAGGGCTGGGGCCCAGGGTTCTCTTTTAGTTGGTAAACCTAATCCCCCGGTGCCAACTTGAAGGAGGCCGGCGGATTTTTTCCCTGATAAATATCGAGGTCGAAGGAGGCCGGCAGATTAAAATTTGAGGATGTCTCGAGCGAAACGCTTGTTTTTGAAATCCCGATCGATAAATCACAGGGTGCGGGCCACTTTTTCGTGTGTTGAGGATGTCTCGAGCGAAACGCTTGCTCCGCAGAGTTTGCCGAGGATGTCTCGAGCGAAACGCTTGTTTTGCAGAGCCGACCGCGACGCGGAAAAGCGCCCCGCGCGAAGGAATTTCGATGATGTCTCGACTAATTCCTTTGTTTTTGTACGATTTCCTGGAATTTTGGCAGGATGTCTCGAGCGAAATGCACGACCCCACCCTAGCACGACCATACCCCAGCACGACCACACCCCAGCACGACCAGACCCCAGCACGACCCCACCCCAGCACGACCCCACCCCAGCACGACCATACCCCAGCACGACCACACCCCAGCACGACCCGACCCCAGCACGACCCACCCCAGCAAGACCACACACCCAGCACGACCACACCCCAGCACGACCACACCACAGCACGACCACGCCCCAGCACGACCACGCCCCAGCACGACCACCCCCAGCACGACACCCCAGCACGACCACACCCCAGCACGACC